AAAAGTGGCTCTTGGCCCTGGCAGGTTTGGCTCAGCGGTTAGAGTGTTGGCCCGCAGACCTAGGGGTTGTGGGTTCAATTCCTGGTCAAGGGCATGTACTTGGGTTTAAAGTTCAATCCCTGGCACCAATCAGGGTCGTGTGGGAGGCAACCAATCAATGTGTCTCTCTCACATTGATGTTTCTCTCTCTCTCTCACTATCCCTCCCACTCTATCTAAAAGTCAATGGAAAAATATCCTTGGGTGAGGATTAACAACAACAATATATATATAACAACAAAAGTTGCTCTTGGATGATGGCGATGGTTGCAAAACAGTGTGAATGTATTAATGTCACTGAACTGTGCCCTTAAAAATGGTTAGAATGGAAAAATTTATGTTACATATATTTTACCATAATTTTAAAATTTTTAAATAACTACACTCGTCTTTGGTGTTGGAGGTGTCCCATTTCTTCGGTAGGGGCATATAGTAAAGCAAGAATATAAAGGACCCTCATCCTGTCTATGTTCAAACCTTCAAGAAAATATTGAAGAAACTAGGTTGGTGACATGAATATTGGCATCACAGCCCAACAATTCTTTCAGTTTCTTCCTTGTTAGATCAGTGGTATGGGTCTTACTTTACAGTAATTTTTGATAAAGTACAGGGGACAGGTACTGGTGACCAGCAAGTTGCAGAACATCCATGTTGAAGTCGGTGACTGTAACCTCTTCTATCTGCCTGTGACTGTCTAATCATCTTAACACCAAAACAAAAATCAAAAGACTTAAAATCCCAGCGATGTAGAACTTTTAAACAAGTTGAGTCTCTTCAAGAGACGTGGCCCAGGAGGGGATGAAACAGATTGATTGGAAAGCAATCTCTTTTACTTTCCCTCACTACTTCCTGGGGGGAGTCTAAGGCCGGGAACCAAGGCCAGCTACTAGAGCCAAAGAAGGGGTGAGGGTAGGGCCTGTGGGTTAATTTTTGTGCAACTTAATGAAGAAGCAACAAACAAAGAACATGAACGTTTAGAAGATTTTTATTTCACTGTCAGCATTTGTCCTTGACTAATGTCCTGTGGTTCAAGTGTAGATCAATGGGAAGGGTGTGTTGCTGCGAGCTGAGGGGTCTAGTCCTTCTCAGCTTTCTTAGGGAAGCTTATAGATCCAAATCATTTTTGTTTTTTTTAATCAGTTAAAAAATATTTTTTTCTTTATTGATTTTACAGAGAGAGGAAAGGAGAGGGAGAGGGAGAGAGAGACATCGATGTGATAGAGACACATTAATTGGTTGCCTCTTGCTTGACCCCGACTGGGCTGGGGATCAAACCTGCAACCGAGGTAGGTGCCCTTGATGGAGAATAGAACCTGAGACTCTTTGGTCTGCAGGCTGACACTCTAACTACTGAACAAGCCTGCCAGGGCCCAAATCTGCTTTTAGTAGATCAATAGACCTGAGTCTCCAGAGCATGGCTTCAGGTGGGAGCTAAGATTCAGGAGGGTAGAAACCACTTGGTGATTAAGTCAAACCAGGTCATCCTCATTGTACACTGGGCAGGGACCAGCTCCTCCATGTTTTGCAGCTAGTGCAACATCTCCAGTTCTTCCAGCTTCCCTGGGACAAAAGACCACCTACATTATTCATTTAATAAACAGACACAGATATATACGTCAAGATTGAGGCAAGAAACTGTTTAGAGCAAGTGACTTAATAATGATCCTTGCAGATCACAATAGGAATTTAACTAACTTCAGGTTCACGATTCCCTGATTAATTATTCATATTAAAAAGAGCTAAGACTGCCCTTGGACCAAAGAGTCTTGCGTTTGATTCCAGTCAAGGGCACGTACCTTGGTTGCGGTTCATCCCCGGTTCTGGTGCAGGTCATGCGGGAGGCAGAAGGTCCATGTGTCCCTCCCACGTTGATGTTTCTCTCTCTCTCTCTCTCTTCCCCCACCTTCCACTCTATCTGAGGATGAATGGAAATATATCCTTGGGTGAGGATTAAAAAACAAAACAAAACAATAAATAAATAACTAAAAAGAGCTAAGACTGAGATAGCCTAGGAACAGTACCTTAAAAATGACACAATCGAAGCCCTGAGACACCCTCTTTACCCTCATCCCCACTCATCCACAGCATGGCCCCCTGGATGCATCTATTGACCTTTAACAAATAGATACTCAGATATTTCTCCAGCAAAATGTTTTTTTTTTTTTCAGGAACAGCAAAGAATTGAAATTCAGGATATGTGGTCTAATCGCATACTGCCTGCAAGTCCTAAGAACAAAGGAGAGGAACATTCCTTTTTTAAATAATGTGTTTTTATTGGTTTTTTAGAGAGAGAGGGAGAGATAGAAACATCGATGTGAGAAACATCAATTGGCTGCCTCCTGCACACCCCCTACTGGGGATCGAGCCCACAGGCAGGCATGTGCCCCGACCGAGAATCGAAACCAGGATCTCTGAGTCCACGGGACCGCACTCAACCCACTGAGCCACACTGGCTGGGCAGGAACACTCCTTCATGCTTTATGGACTTGGGAGGGGCTGGTGTAAAGGAGTCTATCAAAAGAAACTGAATGTTCAAAGTATAATGACTTTACATTGGCTGAGCTTGGCAGTCTCCTACTGGCTGAGCTGTTACTGGGCAAGGAGGAAGATAACCTTCCCCCTGCCCAGGCAGTAATGTAGTGTTACTTCCTGTCAAGACTGCAAGGTACGTCTCTTCCTGCTTTGCTTTGTGGTCAGCGGTACGTCCCTGAGACTTCTCTTCTAGCCTCCTCACTCTATTTTAAATTACTTTTCTGTTTATTAATTTTCACACCTCCAGTGGCTCATCCCTGCCTGCCAGGCTGGGCCTGGGTGCAAACTTGGGTATGAGCATAAACTCTCTCTCTTTTCTTGTTTACATTCATCTCCAGATAGAGCAGAAGGGAGAAAGGGAGGAAGAGAGAGAAACATCAATGTGAGAGAGACACATCGAGTGGCTGCCACCCACACGACCCACCAGGGCCAGGGACAAACTGCAACCGAGGTACGTGCCCTTAGCCGCTAAGGCTTAGTGGGAACCGAACCCGGATCTCTCTGGTGCGAGGGCTAAGGCTCTAACCATTGAGCCAAACCGGCCAGGGGGAGCATAAACTCTTGAGGGAGACAATCCTAGGTTTATGTGCTAGCCTTGCCATTTGTCAGCTGATTAACACTGATTGAGTTCCCTCATCTGTACACTATGTCTAATAATTAAAACAGCCATCTTACAGATGCTGTGAGCTTAAGTAACAAAGGTGGTATTTACTGAAAGCAGTGGAGGGCCCAGGCACGACTCTAATGCTTAATCTCCTATATTTCTGCTCAGGTAGGCATTTCAAAGCTGAAGCCTTAAGACCGGTATTTTTTTAAACCTCTCCAATTAGTTCTCAAATCAGTGAAGTTGAGAACTACGATTGTGTGTTAATATTCAACTGCGTAGGGTCTTTGAGACAAACAGACCTCATTCTGTCACTCACTAGCTCACTTGGTCAAGTCTTCCAACCTCTCCAGGCCTCAGTTTCCTCATCCATAAATGGGAACAAAAATAGCATTCGTTCTGAGGTGAAATGAGCTGGTTTGGTGACTGGCACACACACAGTGTTTGATAAATGTTAGCTGGTGCCATTAGGCCAACTCCTTTGTTTTAGGTGACAGAGAACCCAAAGACCCTCTGACCTTAGTTCATAGGTCACTCTGTCTTAGTTTAAATTCATTGCTTTTCCACCCACATTGTTTATTTCAAATTCTAAGTATTGAGGGAAGGAGGGATAAGAAGTTATTGTGAAAAAATCCCGTGTTTAGTCCAACAAGACTGAGTTTGAGTCTATGTATCTGTTTGAGCTTCATTTTCCTCATCCATAACATGGGAGAACAAGATATTGCGTTGCTGTGAGAATTTTATATAATGCACGTAAAGGATGCAACATCTAGGTATCACATTATTGCCATCATTTTGGTTATAAAATGTGCACGAGCCCTGGCCAGTTTGGCTCAGCGGTTAGAGCGTCAGCCTGCGGTCCGGAGAGACCCGGGTTCGGTTCCCGCTAAGGGCACGTACTTTGGTTGCAGTTTGTCCCCGGCCTTGGTTGGTCGTGCGGGTGGCAGCCACTCGATGTGTCCCTTCACGTCGATGTTTCTCTCTCTCTCTCCCTTCCTCTCCCTCCCTCCCACTCTATCTGTACAAAAAAATGGAAAAAATATCCTCGGGTGAGGATTAAAATGTGCACGATGTGAAAACAAAAAGGCAGGAAACCCTTAAGAAAATTTAAACAGGAAACAGAGACAGAGCATGAGGAGGGGATAGAGGATGAAGGAACACCGGGGACGGCCTGGGGCTCAGGGTCCTAGGGAATAGATAGATCTCCATCCATATTATCACCCCCCCAGGCTCAGCACTGGACAGGCACTGGTTACTACTAACCTGGGAGTATGGCCAGGTTTGTGAATAGTGTTATTACTCTTTGCAGGGCTGGGCCAGACTCACCCCTGTCGGTTTGTGCAGAATCTCCCCACATTTCTGCTAGAGGCATCCTTTGACCCAAGAAGAGCCCCTGCCATCCAATCTGAGGGGCTGGTCATTGGCTTCAGTGCAGATTTGAGCCACTGCACAGAGGGGCAATTCCTCTCCCCAGACCTCTTTCAAGGGAGAATGACGTTCTACTTCCCACAGGCACCCTGAAGCCTGTCATTAAAATTTGCAAGGGTTATTAACACTAAATGTAGTCAGTATAAATGCTTTCCAGCAAAGCCTGCACAGCTTCCTTGTTTTTAGTTTGCATGTTGACTATTGTCATCTTCCTGTTCTGAATGGTAGGAAATTGGGCATCTGTTTCTTTAAATAAGAAACAAGTCTGGTGACTCATCTGTTCTCCTTTCTTAGGAATCAAGTTTATTCTCTAGTTCTTTCTGTTGATAAATTTTTTTTCTCTTTTGCTGGACACCAGATTCTGCCCTTCTGCAGCCAGGAAATGTTTTCACAGTTTTTTGTGTTGTTCAGCTCTGTTGAATTTGCTAGTACATTCTGAATGTACAGCATAGAGAAATAGGAAGTGAGCTCCTGTGGAGTGATCGAAAGTGAAAGAAAACTTACTGGAGGCGGTTCCATCCCCACCTTTCTTCCTACAGTTTTCAAAGAATTTTTCTCTGATTGTGTGAACAAGCCTGAGGACTGGGAGCACATGAAATTAGGCAGTTTAGGGGCTTTGGCATGAGAGACTTGGTGACTGTGATGTTGCTGGGACAGGGTGGAGCAGGTGAGTGCCTGGTGCAGAAGTGGCTTCTGGACACCACGTTGCTGGGACTCGCTGAGCGAGGACACCTCTGGTCCTGCCAGGATCTCCGAGTGGGCTTTCTCTCTGAACTACAACCACCGGCCTGGCTACCTTAGCTCTGGAAATCTCCAGTTACTCGGCTACATTTGTCAGAGTCTCCTCAGAATCTCAGTGGCCTCAGATATAGACACAGTGTCTCGCTCTGGCTGGATCAGTTTGGAGATTTCATAAGGCTTTATGTTTTGTTTTCTTTTCTGATTGGTCCTGGGGCAGAGGCCTGGGTGAATGCTTCTGTCACATCCCAATACCCTGTGGTCCTTGGTCTCTAAGGCCTACAGTCCCCTTCTACCCCTACCCTGTTCTGGGTACTTTCTTGATTCCCACTTCCTACTGCACTCGATGGCCTCCAGAAGACAACCCTTTAGATCATTTTTAATAAATTTTTTTTTTCTTTATTGATATTAGAGAGAGGGAGGAAGGGAGAGGGAGAGAGAGATAGAAACATTGATGAGAGAGAATATCGATTGGCCACCTCCTGCATGCCCCCCCACTGGAGATTGGGCCCACAACCTGGGCATGTGGCCCGACTGGGAATCGAACCAGTGACCGCTTGGTGCATGGGTCGATGCTCAACCACTGAGCCACACCTGCCGGGAAACACTTTAGATATTTTGATGCGTATCTCTGAATTGATCTGTATCTTTGCAAAATGTATTATTGTTTTGTGTGTACACTATTTTTTAACTATGTTACCTGGAACAAGTAAGTACTTTCTCTGTGCCTCTGTTTCCACATCAGTCCATGGGGTTAGTACTAACATCACGAGGTGACTGTGAGGGTTGTGAGGCGATAATACGTGTTAACCACTTGCAGCAGTGATTGGCTAAGTACCCAAAAAGTGTTATCTATTATTGTTACAAATGGATTACTTCTATTATTTTGTTTTTTTCTTTTTCTTTTATTAAAAGTAAGCACTCTGTATTTTATGTTCTGTGTATTTTCCAGGCTCCACTTTTTAACCACTACACAGTATTGCATTATGGATAGCTTCCCCAATTCTATATAAGGACTTGCCCTCCAGTTCTTGACCTGATCTAACTTGCAAATCTTTGCAACTCTGATAGGTATAAAGTGGGTACCTCGTTGCCTTATTTTGCATTTCCTAGATTACTGACGAGTTTGAGCATCACTTCATACACTTTGGCTATTTGAGTGTCCCTGTCAGAGACTCCATGTTTGTATCCAATCTGTCTACAGGGATTGTTTTTCTTGTAGATGTGCAGGAAACCTTTGTATATTCTAGATATTAGTGGGAACACAAACATGAAAGATGACGTCTCTGCTCTGTGAAGGTCAAAACCTAGGACAGGAACTAGCCACAGAACAGTGGGTCGATGCTAGGGTGATGCTCAGGAGACATCAAGAAAGAGTCAGGGAACTCCTCCTGAGCTGGAATTCAGCCTCTAGTAGGATTTCATTCTGTTGCTGTGTCTTCACTCAGACTTTTTGAGCAGAATCAAGTGGTAGCAAAGGACATTGATGTTACCACGGCACGTTTACCCAGCCCTCTACAGGGCAAGAGGCGCTTTCAGACATTTCATTTAATCCTCTTAGGTATAACATGGGTCTGCGTCCTCTGAAAGCTTATATTGCATTTGGGGAAAGAAAAAAGGCAGTTTCAAAGAAGAGAGGTGTTTGATTTTTTGTTTCTACTTTTAATGTCAGGAAACATTTCAACCAACTCACAGCAAAAAGGCAGGGCTAATGTGTGTTTTCTTCACTGTTACATCTCTCAGGCTTGAAACATAATGAGGGCCTCAGAATTTACCTCTTTGGTAAGATTGGCTGGGTTGACTCCAGGGTTTTCTAAGCCACTGAGGGTGGGACCTGGTGGCTTTAGGGGCCCAAGGAGGTGATCTTGTATTTCAGTGTCAATGGGAAATCATGAGAGTTAGCTGTGGGAGTTAGCAGATCCTCTGTGAGCTGTAGCGAGGGACTCCACAGTTTCCAGATCTCAAGATCTCTCAAAAGTGCTCAGTTAATATTTATTAAATGAAAACATGAAAGTCTTAAAATAAATCCAGACAAAGCTGCAAATTCCTGAAGTATGAAAAAAAGCAATCTTAGTTATCATTCAGTCTGTTTAGTTTTAGAATATGGTAATGATCCATCCATAGTCACATTTGACAAGGATCCATCCAGTCACATTTGGTGGTGATCCATCCACAGTCATATAGCCAGAGCTAAAACTGGGTTCTTGTTTCCACTAGCCTCTTTTCTATAGCTGTAGGAGGTGTCACGCAGTTGAAAACAGGAAGTAAAGTGCTCTTCATCGGCTTCCACTCTTGCCTTAGCTGCACTAGCGGAAACAGCAACCGTGAAGGCCCCAGGCCTGTGAAGAAGCAGCTGTGAGGGTTCTAGGACTACCTTTGGTAAGATTATTTGGACCTTTGGGGAGGAAGGACTTTGATTCTAGAGTTCCCTAGGCTGCTGACGGTGGGATTCGGTGGCCTTAGGCCCATAGGCCTTGGGCCCATATTTGAGAATAGATGGGGAAACCACTGGCAGGCAATGTAGAGCCTCCAGGCCCACAGATTGCAGATCTCAAGGCCCCTCTAGCTTAAGTTGATACATTCCTGTTTTTTTTTTTTTTTTTCTGGAATGTTCCAAGTACAGTGGTTTTATCCTTTTGCTGGTGAAACTTGTCAAAAAATAGAAACCAAAATGTAAATCTCAACTGGCTTTGCTGCTACGGCTTAACCATTTGTCAGCATGTACCCACCCACATATATACCCCCTAACATGAACACACACACATGCACACACATGCATGCACACAGTCCTAATCATTTAGTTATTTAATTTTTTGAGAAACTAAAAAAATACAGAGCAGTACAAAGAATAATATAATGACAAGCACAGGCCAACAAAATCCAAGACTGTACTTGTGGAGTTAAGCATTTACAGGTGCAATTATGAATTTCGTTAGTTTGAAAATGGCAGGGTTGGTTATAAGTTTTGTTGAGGTTTAAACACCTTTGCTGGGCTGTGTGAAAGCGCCGGTTTCAGGGGCCTGCAGTGGTCAGTGTTTGCGTGCCGAGTGAACATCTGGCAGGTTCTGGGGGAGTCCCCAGTTTGGAGTGGCCCTCCACTATCGCTTATGGATTTGGCCTGAGAGCTGTTTTCAAATACTGTTGAGCTTTTAGTGAGATGCAGGTTTTTGTCTCAGAAGATTAATGCAAGTTTTGGATTTATTTTCCCCAGTTATCCGTATCACTGAAGGAACTACAATGCTGCTAGAATATTGCTAGAAGGATTGTTTGTGATTGGATGAAATTTATTTGTCATTAAATTGTGGCATAGAAGGCAGTGGTGGAGTTGTGACTCTGGAATGAGATGCTGAGGTCTAAATTAGGCTCCAGCATGTAGGGGCTGGTTTGTAAGGTTCTGACCTTGTTTCTGCTGTAGTTGGAGTTGTTAAGAATTCCCATTTTTGTGTTTTGGGATCATTTTTATGGTCTTTAAATTAAAAAAATAATAATTTTGATGTTTAAAAATATAATTATATGTTCTCTTTCACTGGCTTCCAACTGCAATTAGAATAAAATCAAAATCCTTGCAGGGTCTGTCATCGAAAACTTTGAGTGAGATGCTCAGATCTGAGCCTTACTCATCTCTTCTAGCTTATTTCTAAACTGATTTTCCACAATAGTAAAATGAGGACAATAAGCAATTTTGTCAGAGACTTGTAGTAAATGAGACAAGAAAAAATATTTTTACATTTGTATGGATTATATTATAAACATATATATCTTGAACACTTACTTATAATTAATACTTTCGTGCATAGATTTATGATAAAATATTAAATATATTTATATATTATGTAATACAAATAATTCATGTGAGCTTATTATTTAAGAAATATTATATAATCAAAAGTTAAAGGAATTTTCCTGAAAGTGTTTCCATCCCCCTCCCTCTCTTCCTCCTCGTATGCATTATATATCAAATGTATATATATTCAAATGTAGTTGTTTTGTATATGCATATGCACACCTTATCTATTTGTGTGTTTATATTATGTATATAAATGTGAATAAAACTGAGAAAAAAAAACTAGCAATGTAACCAAAGAATTACTATCAAATGGCGAGTTTCTAAATGATTTTTTTTTCTTTTGAAACTTCTCTGTACTATCTCTAAGGAACGAGTGTTACTTTTACTATTTTAGGATCAGAAAAATACAACAATGAATGTTTTAAAAAATATTCCTCTAACAAAGTTTCTAGTTCATAAGTTTGTCCAATAAACCCAGGTCCCAGGGGCAGTGTGGTTAAAACCTAGTGCTTAGCAGCGCCGTGTGTTAATGGTGTAAAATCTTGTGCAGGAGATTGTTTTCCAGGCACTATGACTAGAAAAATAGGCCACCCAAACAAAGACAGAATATTCATCATACCCGTGTGTCCTGGAAAACCTGGACCAGGAAAGAAACCACACTAGCATTTTTCCTACTAAGTGGCCATTTTGATGTGATGCAAAAATCACTTAGAAAGATGGTCACGTTATTGCAAAGATAGCAAAATGAGTAAGATGAGCTGGCTATAGAAGACAGGAGTCAAGAGCCTGTCATGTCATCCTGGCCATGAATTGAAATATATATATATATATATATATATATATTACGGAGTTAATTCTTGTATTATTATTTATTTATTATTATATTATTATTGTATTATTATTATTATTATTAACCTACTCTTGCCCACCCCTGTATGTATATTGTCAGAAAACACTATTGAATGAAAGCTTTGAAAAGGTTTATTCCTTTTGACTCTGTAATACTACTTGCGGTAATTATTCTAAGAAAATATTCAGAGGTGTACATGGAGATTTACATTTTAAGATCATCCTAAATATAATCAGAGACTGGCTACATAAATTATAGTCCATTCATTTGACTAGATGTTTTACAGATTTTA